AAGGCATTAAGTACCTCTGCCTTTTCCTTGTCCTTGTTGGCAATGTTCCCCTCTTCACCCAGTAAAGGGGGGAGATTCTCTTTGGTCCTCCTTTTGTTGTTAACATATTTGTAAAAACATTTTTTGTTCTCTCTTACAACCGGCCAGAGTTCAAGTTGGGTTTTTGCCTTTCTAATTTTCTCTCTTCATGCCCTGACAACGTCTTTGTTCTCTTCCTGGCTTACCTGTCCCTTCTTCCAAAGCTGGTAAACTCTCTTCTTATTCTTGAGTTCCAGTCAAAGCTCTCTGTTCAAGCAAGCTGGTCTTCTTCCCCGTCAGCTCATCTTGCAGCACATTGGGAGAGTGCAAGAAATGCTGAGTCGTACAAGTCTGTCTGGGACAATCTGCAGGCTTACAATAGAATTAAGAACTGTAGAGCATTTGCAAGTATAATATCTGTGAATGTATTCTTGTGATCCTGCGAAAACTTAAATGTAACTAAAAAATACTATTTACATCAATGTACTTAGTTTTAAGCATGGTGAACAGGCCTATTTGTGATCTTACACTGCAGTCCTTACAGCCAAGATATCTTTGCTAAGTGTCATTAAAAATGCAGCGATTAGAAACAAGACTCCAAAGTAAGTGATAAATGGAATCAGTGTCTGGAATGCAGTGAAAAAGATAAGTTCAATAGTAACTGAAAACTGAATTTTCCTATCGGTGAGACTAAAGGAAGAGGTACACAAAGCTTTTCAACTGTAATGTGGTAAATATGCCATATGCTTTGAGAAAGATTTCTTCTCATTTGTAAACAATCTTTCAAAGAAAAATCTACATTCAACTACACAAGCAGTTTCAAAGATCTGCCCTAATGCTACTTTTTCCTTTTGGTGAGCTCATATACTGAACATTGTGAAGGAGATTAAGTTTTGGAAACAAAAAAATCAGTAACGGAATTTGTGGTACTACAAAAGTCAAACATGGAAAGATTAAAAGGAGTTTTGTATCAGGAGTAAGAAAATCAAACCCATACTGCTTTGTGCTCTCCTGAATGTAAGTTTCTATCTGTCTTTTCTTCGACTGGATTCACATGTAGTGCTTAAGTACTTTTCAAAACCAAGTATTAGGAGATAAGAATCATCAGTACCAAAAATGCAGATAAAATATTTGTAGTGAGATTTAGAGTAAATTAGGAAATTGAACTGGAGTATTCCATGGTGTCATCGTTTGTTGTTTGCTTTAAAAACAAAGAAAGGAATCCAAAAGAGTTTGGCAGATTGTTGCAGAACCGTACTGATGGGCATAGTCCTGATACATCTCACAGGCCTGCTTCCATAAAGCTGCTGCAAGAATTTAGTAGGTTCAGGCTCCTGAGTCCTATTGTGTCAAAGAAACTGAGAGGTTGAAGATGACAGTTGCTCTTTCACATCAGAATAAACCAGCTCAATACTTATAGCTAGATCTTAATTCAAACTTAACTCAGACAGATTGGCAAGAGTTACAATGTGCAGCTAGAGGTCTTAAAAAACCCAGTTGTACAATCCAGAGAAGAAAAAAAATGGGTCTTACAAACATAAAAAATATGTTGTAAACAATGAAAGAGCTAGTTCAAGCTGACTAGGAATGCATTCAAGCTACAGCAAGTATATTTCACATTCAATGACATGAAAAACATTCTAAATTAAAACACAAAAAATGGGAGAATGAACAAAGAGAATCTTCAAAAAAAGAATTCTGAAACTTGGCTATTAAATCCTGATATTATTAATCACTACTTCTAATCCTGCCAACAATGTAAAGCTGGTGGCCTCATGACCACTCAAAATCTAATCTAGTTTAGGACTGGGCTAGCACACTATTAGCACTATATAATATCCATCTTTTCTTTTGGAAATGAACTTCATAAAAACAAAAGCAGAACGGCAAATACTGTGCATACTGCTTATTATTTCCAGTCACAAACACCACAGTCTGTAAACAAGGCACTCCAAAGGCATGCAACTGTCCTGCTCACCTAGTGGGAAAAATACTGCAAAGTCATCACGTTTCTCAAGGACGTAAAAAGTGTTGGAGAAACTCTTGACCTTTTCATAAACAAGCAATGCCTCTGGATCTAACTTATATTCATCAGTTATACATTTTGTATGCACAAAAAAAGGCAGATCCTTTATTTTAAATAGGCCTAAAGTGTCAGCTGTTTTTCAGATTATGTATTTGGTTTGGGGAATTTCAGGTGCTGGCGAGAACAGCTCTTCTGTCTTGTCTAGCACAGCTCTGCCCCTCTGCCCAATTTTCTGCATTACTATCTTCCCTGCCTATCACTACTGACCAGAACTCACAATGTCTCACAGAGCAATCGACATTTCCTTCAACATGCATGTTAGTTACTTCTAGGCAGAGGTAGTGTTCCTTCGAAACAGTCAGCCCTGCCTACTTGTTATACCTAGCTATAGGGTCACCCTTTCCTGTAAATTGGGGCGGGGGGTGGTGGGGGGAATGACAGGACAGGATTAGTATATTTAATAAATAGCAAGTACTATAAAATATTTCATAAAGTCAAATAATTTCCTGTTTATAACTAGGGATTGTGAATGCAAGTTGCATGTGCTGAGCATTTAAGCTTCCTAGTTTTGCTATTCTGGAATATAAACCAGAAGAAAAGTCAGCCAGAACTTTTTCACAAATACGTACACTATGCTTTGTGGGTTCTTTTTAAGAAAGCAGGAGACCTTATTATTTGTGCATTAAGTAAAGTACCACAGTTACCCCACTGCCATAATTCCAGTCTACAGCAGGTTTGGTTTTTTTTACAACAGTTTTTGGAAATGTTGCTAAAAATGTCTTGCTAAGCTTGACTGCATAGCTGAAACCAGAGGGATGACCCAAACGTAATGTTTACAGAACACTGTGCTGCCATCATACAATTGTGTATACCATAACTCTGTGTGTCAGTCAGTCATTCCAAAAACATTAAACACAAAAAAGGGAGTGAAGAAAGCAGCAACCTAACACTTCCAAAACCCAAATAACATTAATAGGAGACTTCTGGCTTGAAAGTGATGCTTCCATCTGGACATACTCACCTGGCATAATTATAAATCTCTGAATAAATGAAGAGGACTTTACCTGTGCTTTTTGCATGCCAGTAGCGTTACAAATAGTCAGTTTAAAAGATCTTTGCCATGGGCATTGCATAAATAATTTTATATACATAAGTATATATGTATATATATTATCTATGTGTGTGTGCAAATGTGTGTTAAACAAAAACCCTAAGAAGATTTAAAAAACCCATAGCATACTTCATAACTTATTTTCTAGGATAAACTGTATTTTAATTAATCACTTCAGAAATCGAAGCTGTCAGTGACCTTTTAAAATGACTATACATATACAGCACACTGTTAGATGAATATTGATTTTTTTTCCCCCTCCACTGCAAGCAAAGTTTAGACAATTAGTTTTCATACTGAAGTATTAAGCTTCAATTTTGTTTCTTAAAAGTTTATAATTAGGCCTTTTGATTGTGAGCTTTTTTTTAGTTAAGTCCAAGTAACCAAGCAACTATGTGCAGAAATTAACCTTTTTATTATATTATATACTGTAGTAGTAAAGTTTGTTTGAAGTGCATGAATAAAAAGTTAGTGAAATTACAGGAGGAACAATCTAATATAGCAATAATAGGTGCATTCACTGTGCATCTGAGAGGAGGAGGGGGGAAAAAAGAAGAGTTTTCACTCATTTTGGCCTAAAACGTCTTCAGGTTTCCAGGATTCTGACATCAGAACCCAGATAACACTGGTTAGAACCATAGGGCTTTACAATAAAAGCTAAAATATTGACCATATGATGGCAAAAAGTCTTTATTTTGTGGTTAACTTATTCTCTTCTAGCTACTCTCTGATGAAGTTGGTGGTGCTGTGGAGGATGATCTCCTTCTTCTTGACAAAGATCGTGATCGTTCTGCACTGTAGGCAACATGCTTATCATAATTTTGTATCTGAGCCTCGAGGAAATCCCTCTGTTGCTGGCTGATTGTCTGGCTAATCAGTCCAGGGAGAGCTTGAATGCTACCAATTAAAGTTTCCAGTTTAGTTTCCAGAGTAACAATTCTCTTCTCAAAATCTTCGCTTCTTTCATTTAAGTCAGAAATCATGTCATACATGATGTTTTGAGTCTGAAAGTAAAAGCATGTAAACAAAGGTTTAGAGAGACCTTACAAATATTTTGACAAGCAGCATGATTCTACAGGGTTTGTAAATGCTTTTGCACTTCACCAAAAAAAACCCAAAACCGATACGAATATTATAACGATATCTAGTCATGTGAAATTATTTTCCTTGTAGATTCAGAATACTTTCTACTAAATTTGTTGAGCAGAAATGTAATATATTTTCAGTAGCACTTCAGATGTTGAGGTCTAAACATATTAGACAAAAGACCAGACCTTTTTTTGGGAGTTCAGGTGCTTAGAAATGCACCATGCTAAGCTTTGTGAACAGTCAGTTGTGTAAGTCAGCAGGAGACCAAAAGCTCCAAAGCCATGATCCATCCTTGTCTCTTCTGTTTTTCCTCTGGTTTTAAACACCCTCACTCTTCTAAGCAGAACACAAATGTTGTTCATGTGCTTTCTCCTTAAACTGACCAAGTTTTCCTGAACTGGCTGTAGTAAGAGTAGTTGGGTGGATTGTTTTTGGAATGTAGTGCAAGGAGTACAAACTCAATTGTATGCTGCTCTACTCCTGCATTCCCCAATCTATCTGCCTGCTACAAAACAGTGTATGTGTATATATATATATATA